TCTTTTGCCACGATTTTATTTTTTAGAAATCGAGGAATCGCGATTTTGAATAGAAATATTACCAAACGTCAGAACTAGACACTTTGACAATATGCCGGTGATAACAGTAAAGAGAAAAGAACGATCTAACCGCATGTCGGCGCATGTGATTAACCGCTCACGTGTGACTCGCTCATATCTCAAGGCGCCATTCACACAGAATGCACTTTTGTGTGGATAAAGACACGACGCATGAAGAGGAATAGGAAAAATATGCAAGAAGATGGGAGTTGAACTTCTCTTAACTTGAGTGCCACGGTTTTAAAATGCCGTTTTAATGTATGAGACGCTGCAAGAGACGCAAGCGCAACAGTCAAACGCGTCCATTTACATAGCAAAAACAATAGAAAAGCAGCGCAATCGAATAAAAAAACATGTAAAGAACTACTACTGTATGTCTGATATTTCATGTTTGCATCATGGTGACAGGCTGAAAGCTGCTGTTCATTGTTTTCACAGAACATTTATTATTAATAGTCTACTGGTGTTATACCGTCAGTAGTCAGAAAGAGCTTTATTATCAAGTATGTTTACACACACAAGGAATTTGACTTAGTGACAGGAGCTTCCAGTGCAGAATAAAGTATGGACATAGTTCAGACTAGTGCAGCAGACATAGGAATTGCACAGTAGATATGGAGTATAACACTAAGAAAAACAGAAAATTAAATAATGCACTATATACAGAAGTAGAAATATAAAGAAATGTAATTGTTTAAATGAATGTACAGATATATTTACAAGTGTGCAGTTTGTATGTATAAAGTCAGTCATTTTGAATTTGAATTACATTGACTGTTGAGAATTTTTTGAAGCATTTTCATTGTAGCCTATTATTTCTGAACATATAACATGTATAAGACAAGTTTGTACAGGATGTAGTTGTAGTTCATGCATCTTTTCTGCAAAGGTATTTAACAAGTGATTTGTTTAACATTTACATCATGTTGACAACTTCATGTGTGGTGCACTTGGAAAATAATTTTCTTCAACTAGAGGGTTAATAAAGAAAAAGTTATTTGAATCATGTTGTACATTTTTAAGTTGACTAGTTAAAAATCGTAAAAAATCGAGAATCGGTCAAACGTTCTGAAATAAATCGAGATTTTATTTTTATTGCCAAATCGCCCAGCCCTACATCAAACATTAAACAGCATTTAAATCAAAACTGCCTAACGTTACAGAATGAAATGTCAATCCATGAAGCGCTATAGGACTGCAAGCTTTGGGGGTGTTGATGGAAGCGATCTACTCCATCTCTGTTTTGATCATTGATCTGAATCCGATCCGGATATAGTCTTTTACAAAAACTTTTACAGTAATTTGTCACAATATTTTTAGGGATTAAACATGATTAAGAAGTATTGACAAAAGTAATATTCTTATGACAATATCAACAGTAATGGCAGAACTATCAACATTTTTTATAAATTTGTAATTAAAAAAAAATATGAAACAGCTTCATAAATAAATAAATACTGTACTTATTTTGTATTTTTTAAATACAAAAAATACTGTTTTATCTATCTGTTCAATATTTTAAAATGTTTTGTTGTTCAAAACCTTTTTGACATCTACATATAATTACTCAGTGCAAACACATGGTTAATCCTAGGTGTATATGACTTTCTTCTTTCAGACGAATCCAGTCGGAGTTATATTAAAAACTGATTTTTATCTTTTAAGCTGTTTAATGGCAGTCAGCGGGTGTTGCAGTGCATCAGTCCAAAAGAAGTTAAATAAAAAGCGCCCATCCATAATAAAAAAGTGTCTCACACGGCTCCGGGGGGTGAACAAAGGCCTCCTGTAGCGAATCGATGCGTTTTTGTAAGAAAAATATCCATATTCAAAAAGTTAGAGTCACTTTCGAGCAAAGGAAGCAAAGTTTCCTTACTTTAGCAAAGGAAAACCAGTCTCCTCTTGGCTTATATCGAAATCCTCCAAGATTCTTCTTCAGAAATCCTCATTTTGTACATCTAATTAGTGACCGTTGTTTTGTTTTGATCTCTCCGCTGTGCTTCCGCGTTCGTCACTTCTGAGCGGCGCAAAGCTGATCTCACACGTCATCCGCTGGAGCTGCTTCCGTGTACAACAGTGAGCGCAAGCTAGATTAAATTTATTATTACGTTTTAAATATGGCTATTTTTCTTACAAAAACGCATCGATTCACTACAGTAGGACTTTGTTCACCCCCCGGAGCCATTTTATTATGGATGGCCGCTTTTTATTTCACTTCTTTTGGACTGATGCACTGCAACACCCGCTGAGTGCCATTAAACAGCTTGAAAGATCAAAGACAATTTTTAATATAACTCCGACTGGATTCGTCTGAAAGAAGAAGTCATATACACCTAGGATGCCTTGAGGGTGAGTAATTTATGGGCTTTTTGGGTGAACTAACACTTTAAGGTAATTTACTCAGTGTGAACTCGTCTTGCTCCGTGTTTGACAGAGGCAGTATAAGCGCTGGCAGGTAAACAACATGCAAATGTGACAATGGGGCTTAGCTGAGGATAAGTTCCACACAACCAGTCAGAAATTAAGTTTCACAAGCCTTCAGTACACACACCAAAAAAAAACTTAATTTTGAAATATACATCTCTGTATTCTGATTTTCCAGACTGAACCAAGCATTGTTTGGTCATTTGTCAGTAAACAGCGTGTTTTTCTTGTAGTTTTTGCTGAGGATCTCACTCCATCACCGCTGATCTCTTTCAATGAGGCTCTGCAGCATTTTCAGACCACTGATCTTGGAGACTTGCTTGTGAGTTTATTATAAGTAACTACACTATGACTACATTCACAAAGGAGAAGAATATGGTTGACTCTCTTTCTTTTTTCTTTATACTTTTTGTTCACTATTAGAAGAACATTCAGCCCACCATTCGCAGGACTGGATTGGCCGCCATCACCCATTTCCTGTTCGGTCCTCCACGGCTACACAAAGACCTTGTAGAGGAGAGAGACTTAGTGTTTGCCATCGCACAGTGTGAGTAAAACATATGACTTGACAAGTCAAGTAGCTACATGCTTTGTTTCAATGACTGCATTCATCTCTTTAGTAAGACTTCTAATGGATAGCTTTTCAGTGTTGATGAATCAGTTAAAGGGGTATGAAATGTGTTTTTAGATCTTTATATTGTATTTTGAGCACATTTCTTCTATTTACACACCCATGTCAAGGGGCGTGCGATTCTTCAAAAAAGAGCCAATAAACACAAGAAGTGCTAGTAATACAACGTTTTTGACATTGTTCAGAAATGTACAAGTTAGAACAAGGAGGAACTAAGGAGAAGTGAAAGCATAGAAGAATAATTTTTTTTCAGCAGGATGCAGTTAAGTGCTGATGGAAGAGATTAATTTTCAGTTGTTTCTTAAATATTTCAAAATATTTGGCATTCTGGTGATCATTGCACCAGCAAGGAACAGTGAAAATTTTCTGGAAAGTGATACCTTTCTGTGGTGGTACCACGAGGCATCGCTCACTTACCAACCTCAGGCTTCTGGAGGGGATGTAGACTTGTAAAATTAAGGGTATGGAGCCTGTGGCTGACATCAATGTCTTGAACAGTGCAGGCAGAGAGATAAACAGAGGTGTGACATGGGTCCTTTTGGGCTCGTTGTAGACCAGGTGTGCTGCTGCGTTCTGAATCATTTGTAGAGGTTTGATTGCAAATGATGGAAGGCCAGCCAGAAGAGCATTGCAGTAGTCCAGCCTAGAAATGACAAGGGTCTGGACAAGAAGTTGTGCAGCATGCTCTGTTAGGAAGGGCCTGATCTCTCTGATCTTGTGCGATGCAAACCTGCATGATCATGCTGTCCTTGCATTGTGGTCACTTCTGGTCATCAAACATTACTCCAAGATGGTTGAAATGAAAAATAGAACTGTATGTCATCAGCATAGGTAGGAGAAACCATGTACCTGTATGATGGGTCCCAGTGCTGTAGTGTATATAGAGAAGAGGAGGGGTCCAAGAACTGATAATAAGTAGTGTTTGCCGTATTTTGTATTGTAGAGTAACCCTCTTACATGTGTAAATATAAAGGAAATTTTGATTTTCAATTTCATGACCCCTTTAAGTTGTTCAGATGGCTACCAGAGTAACTGCCTAAATGTCTTGGGTGTGATGTCTTTGTTTTGTGATTCTGCAGGTTCTCTGGATAATGGCCAGTCAGTCCACATGCGTGTACTCCAGACCATCTACAGGAAATTGACCTGCACTCGAGCTGACTGCCCTCGCTATGGACCACACTGGGAGAACGTGGGCTTTCAAGGTACCTCAAATAGGCACCTATGCGTAAAATGTCTAATCAAAACAAAAAAATCTGTAATTAATTTATTATTTTCATGATGTCATGAAATACAAGTCACCCGTTTGTAATATTTGTTATACTTCCAGGTGCAGACCCTGCTACAGATCTGAGGGGAACTGGTTTTCTGGGCCTGATGCACACGCTCTACTTCGTCATGGACCCAGAGATTCTACCACTTGCTAGAGAAATCTACAAACTCTCTCAGCATCCAGTCCAGGTGATGCAAAACACAGTCAAATATATACTTGCTACAACCTTATCAAAGACAATAAAAACACTCGTTTTCATTTTTAACACATGCAGAATTTTCCCTTCTGCGTGATGTCAATCAACATGACGCGAATTGCCCTGCATGCTCTCAGGGAGGAAGTGCTGTCCAAGTAAGTCATTTCACACTGCAGGAAGCTGAAGTTTTTGAACATTAACTGGTGTTTATTTTGTACAGTATTAATTACATACTGTCAAGCTTTGAAATTATTTGGCTGTGTTTGCCCTCAGTCTGAGGTATCCGCTTTAACCTTTCATAATCTCTGCAGTTGTTTCCATGGCAATAAAACATTTTGTTGCTTTGTGATGTCACATAGGGAGTGTAACCGAAGGCAACAGGTCGTGGCAGTGCTGAATGATTTTTATGTTGCAACGTTCCTGTACCTCTATCAGCTGTGGAAGAGCCAGCAGAAAACCATCTCTGACTCTGGCTATGTACTCAAAGGTGACATTTCCGTTACAAATTAACAGTGTTGTATTTGTGCATGGTATTGTTTAGTGACTTTCAGCATTGATTTGAATTGACACTGTCATTTGGTCAAAATCATTTGAAGGTGCCATAATTTACTTTTATTTTTACCCTTAAAGTCCATTTAATGCTTGTAAAGGTTTGCAGCAAAAAGCACTTTCCACTCACAATGACCCTTAAAATTAAACAAGCTGTTTTTGCAACTGTACCTTTAAGAGTTTTACATGTAAATGCCCTCTATTCTGATTGGGTAGCTTCCACACTGTCATTTATTAGTGTAATAGTTGCTATATACTGAATAGATGTTGAGATTAGGAATGTGAATCTTTGGTTAGACAGCAAATCGATTCAATTCATGAATCAGAGGTTTTTGATTCAGGAATATTTTTTGCAATTTCAGAGCATTTAGATTTTTGTTGGAACAATTTTTGCTGGAAATAAGGTTGTTATGGTAAGGTTGTAAGATACCAGTGAAATTTCACAATTCTTGCTAACAATTTCGATACCACAGCAAAAGCTAATACTAACTTAATGTAAGTAAACACAAACAGTTAGTAATAAAATAACAAGAAAACAAATAGAATGAAGCAAATGCAAATGTTTTTCAGGTAGGTCAATCTAACAGTAGTATTTAAGTAAAACAATACTACAGAAATTAAATAATCAAATGTAAAATTAAACTCTTTAGTCTTCACTGTATGAATTAAAGTAATGACTCACTATGTCTCCATTAATTCAGGCATGTTACTAATTTAATGTTTATATATTTTAAGATATTTTAAGGTACTTTACTGAATTGCAATTAATTACATTTTTAGCATTTTAAAATGATTATTGACTGCAACGAACACTTCACAATTCAAAAATCCATGTTTCAAGTTCAGTGCAGGTGAATTGGCAAATTTTGTAATCAATGCATCAAGAAAGCAAATGAATTGTTGCACCCTTAGGTGAAATGCAAAGATGGGTGATCATGTGCTAATATGCTCATGATTGTGATGTCACCTTGCCAGTTTAAAAAAAAACAAAAAAAATTTTTATTTATTTTTTTTTAATTTTTTTTTTGCTGCTAGGTTACCATAAATTGTATAGGTCAGGGGTGCCCAATCCTTTTCATTAAGAGATCAACCATCCTGCAATGTTCAGCTCCAACCCTGATCAAACACATTTGGACCAGCTAAATAATCTCTTCAGTAGCTCTTGATAAATGCAGACAGTTGGGTTGGAGCAGGACTGGAACTGAAGTCTGCTGGTAGGTAGATCTCCAGGAACAGGATTGGGCACCCCTGGTGTAGATGAACTGGATTAAGAGCTTTGTGTTTAACTTTAGAGTTTATATATTGAAAAATTAAAAAGCCTGTTCTTGTCTCTTTCTGCTCTGTGATGCACAGAAATTGAGCTCTTCGCTAAGAAGAACCCCAAGCAGATTCTCAAACGTCTCGAGGGTTACCTGAAGGAGAGACGTGCTGGGACAGGACACCGAACATCACCTGACACACTATCACATAGCAACCCTTCACCTGGTGACACTGCGTCTCGAGCAGGGAGTCAGGGCGGGAAGGAGGACAAAGAGATGAACTTCACTGGAGTGTGTGAGCTGCCACCTGAGATGGAGGGCGAGGCAAGACTCATCTGAGAGACCGAGAGGGATTCGATTTGTATAGTCTCAACTATCTCTTGTGCTCTAAGTTTGTTGTTTCTTTGTTTCCTTTCTGTCCTTTAATGCTTAAGTACACTCAGAGAGTCTATGTTGTAACTGTAGTTGCTAAAAATATAAAACTATTTGCTGTCTTTTTTTCTGTTACGAACATCACCTGACACACTATCACATAGCAACCCTTCACCTGGTGACACTGCGTCTCGAGCAGGGAGTCAGGGCGGGAAGGAGGACAAAGAGATGAACTTCACTGGAGTGTGTGAGCTGCCACCTGAGATGGAGGGCGAGGCAAGACTCATCTGAGAGACCGAGAGGGATTCGATTTGTATAGTCTCAACTATCTCTTGTGCTCTAAGTTTGTTGTTTCTTTGTTTCCTTTCTGTCCTTTAATGCTTAAGTACACTCAGAGACAAGTCTATGTTGTAACTGTAGTTGCTAAAAATATAAAACTATTTGCTGTCTTTTTTTCTGTTCGAGTACCTATTGGCTCTTCTATGAAAAAGACTAAATTTAGTTGCCAAGTTGAAAAGGAGAATCTCAGAATTAACTGCCTCAGTGGCAGCAGGTTGTTTCGAAATTGTCAGGAAGAAAGAGACGCTGTTTACAGGCCTCAAGGGTGTGCAGTTGCAGAGGAGATGGCTGCAGAAGCCAGCCAGCACCTTACCCACTAATGTGGTATTGAGTGAGAGTGACTTTCTGTGTGTGATGGCCTGACTGTTTAGGCATGTATTTGATGGAGACTGTAGTCTAGTGAAAGCCTTGTGAAACTCATGGTCATTCGAACATGTTCACTGTGACTGAGTCAATGTTCAAGAAAGTTGGCAGAGTTTATATTGATGTTGGCTCTTTATGGAATGAGGTATCAAAACATTGGATGGAAATAAGCCTCAATAGGCCAATTTTTATTTTTTATTTTTTTTGGTCCCTTTAGAGAGATAAATGTCGCAATATGATTCAGAGACTGTCTGACATGTTTCTGTTGGCAGGAACTCTTCCACAAGAGCCTGAAATTGTAAAGTCAGGCTTTTTGATGGGAAAGTGCATTTTAGTGACCAGTAGACCGAAATGTATGGATGTTTGAGTATCTATTTTGCAGTTCAGTTACAAGTCTAACGTTGACACTTGCGGACTCTTCGCTATTAATTGAATTATAAGCTAAATTTATTTAACTGTTTGAGCGTTGAGCTGAAATTAGGGCAGTAATCAAAGTTAAATGTTATATTTGGAGGTGTAGTTACGCTTGTCTGCATGAAGCAAATCCTACATGTTTCCTCTAATGATAGCAGGTAGATTCCAGTTTTAAGTAGTCATAACATGACTATGAACATGTTGACATGTTGTGGACGAGAGTGAGGATGATCCCATGTCGTTAAAATTTTGCTGGATCATTTCTGGGGGCCAGTTGCATAAACTTAGCCTCTGTGTTAAGACAGTGTCTTACGAACTAGTCTGACCAACTAGCAGTTAGCCAAGCGGTAATCAGTCTTATTTTTTGGATTCAACATAGACAAATCTACGTTTTTATGTAACAGAATTAAATATGACCAGCCTTAAAGAAAAAAAAATTGATGACAACTTGTAAGACTAGTCTTTTATAAAGTCTTTTATGCAACCGGTCCCTGGTATCCCGGTCGAGCCCCCAATTTATGTTTTGAATCCTGTTATGCCAGAAATAGTACTAAAAAATTGTTATTGGTTACTTGTTAAGACATCACATTCTCAAGATGTCTACTAGCTTGTACTGAGAGCATAGATGGTGTATTTTAAACTGCTGGATAGTGATTAGATTGTTACAGCTCCCAGAAGCACTTATAGCAATGAAAGTGTGTAAACATATTAGGGATAATTGTCTATAAGACATGGCTTAAATAAAACATTAGCCAGGAAGCTGCAGGTCATTTAAGCTGTATGTTATACATAACCTAACAATTATTTCCTTCAGAGTTGCATGAGACACGTTGAAAACTTAAATAGCAAAAAGTCACTCTAGTGAACTTCTTGCATCTAACATACAGCATTCAAACAGAAGTGTGAGACCTGTCAATAGTGTAGTCAAGTACACCGTGAGACTTGTTGATTTACACACAAAAAAAGCGTAGAATACTTTGTTTGCTGTCGAGCCACATTAGGTTAGTGCAGAAAATAGTTGAGAATTTGATGTATTTTTGTCATTTGCGTCTTGTTCTCCCTAGTCCAGGTCCAATAAAGATGTGAGGGTTGCAACAGTCATGTAAATTGACGGTGACGTACTGTACATTTGGAAAAAAAACTTGATGGGAAAAGTCTTTTCCCTCCCTTTGCAACCCTATTCTGCACTCTCGTCTTGTTAGCATGTCAGGTAGCGCTAGAGATGTAGCATCCAGGAATCGTTGTTTTAATTCCTAGTTGAAAAATCTTGTTAATCTAACTCCGTATGGTTGCATATGTTTGTCTAAGTTACCTAGTCCAAAGTGTTGTTGTACAATACGAGTACAGTGCGTTCTGTATGTTTCAGGTTTCATTTTACGCTCTTATTTTATTCTTTTGTAGTTTTTATTTTTCCTAAACGACACATGAATATAAATACTCAGTGGATGTATATTAGAAGTCCTGTCACTTTAGCCAGTTTAATTTTATATAAAGCAGAGTAGTATTTTATAAACTTGAATAAGAGCAAAGCATGATGGAAAAAGAATGTTTATATACAAAGGCAAATCACCCTTTCCTGGGTTATTTACTAGTTTGGCTGGTTTGTATTTAGTTTAGATAAGCAGGTTCAACACTTTCATTATCCGTCTATATATCTGAGTGAATTCAATGCAATTCAGTGCTGTTGTTAACTCTATGGCAAGCATTAATGTGTTTCATACCCAACTGCTGAAAGCAACGTTAACGCTAAGAAAGAGTGAATTATGATGGTGCATAATAGTATGTCGGCTGATTTCAGTGTCAAACTGTTGAGAGAAGACTGCCTGAGAAACGGTGGAAAGCACACGTGTATTTCCTTCTTTTTTAGGATACTTCGAGCTGTTGTGTGCAGTTACTTCTCAAAAGTGTGTTTCTGTCTTGTTTACTAGTTGCTTATGAACAATCATACTTACAAATCGAGCAATCATCCATAACCCCGACCATGATATAAGCCTGGTTTGGCACCTTTTTTGTGTGTATTTGTGCACAATTAGTTGCTTAGTGGTTGTTTTGCTGTTTTGTTTTGTTTTTAAAGGAGAGGGTGGTCTGTATGTGAGATGACTATTAAAGTGTGTGTATATATATATAAATATATATATATAACAAAAATATATGATTGTAACAGTATGATTGTTACCGGGGCATATTATGCATACCTCAGGCTTTAGACAAATCTCTTCTGTGCAGATGTTTTATTGAAGACAGCCATGATCCCGTCGTAGCACAAAATGGTGTGGTGTCTCTTGCAGTAATCTACCTAGCTTGGGAATGTACTGTATGTATATGTATGTACACTAATGCAGCACTGCAAAATATTGACTTCTACAGTATATATTTCTATAGCCCATGTTTGTGAAAACCGTAGTCTTACACGCTGAAATGCAACCGAACCTTCGCTGGAGAATGTTTTTAATAATCTTAATGGTTTGACGTCGAAGCAAATCAGACGAATTTGTGGCCTTTGGTATTTGCTGTGCTTTCGTGAATGGTTTTTTTGCAGTTACAATATGTCAAAAACGATTCACTCTACTATGGCACAATGTAACAATATTTGTTTGGACCAAAAGGAGCATTTGTGGGTTTGAAGCTGGTTTGGAGGTCGCGGTCTTTTAACGGGAGATCTTGCCGTCTTTAAATGTTAGGATCTCTCTGTTTTGATTTTCCCAGTGTGTTTTACAAGAAAGCATTCCATCTGTCTGGCCCACAGAGCTGAAATTTATTTCTAGAGAAAATGCAAACCCCACGTCAAATTTGATTTGTTGATTTGCCCTGAATCAAATTACAAATATCCTGCACTTCATTTAAAGATGCATCGTCATTGTCTGTTATGATCCTTCAGAGCATTTTATTATATCTGAAACTTGATTGTAGAATCCCTATTTTATAATGAAAATATATTTCAGAATATATGCGGTGGTACAGTGATGTATCGTATGAAGAGTAATAAATAAATGCAACTTAAAAAAATATTTAAGTCATAAATTGTAATTCTTTGCATGTGCTTTTTTTTTTTTAAACCAATTAGTTTAAACAGGTCATCATAGTGATTGTTCTAGAATTTTAAGTGTGGATTGGCCATCAGGGGTCAGTCTACTGTAATGGCTGATGCAATCTGACTAGCATGTGCTGTCCTGCACTCAATGTGTTTTCTTATCTGTTAATTAATAACAACTATGATTTCCATCAGGAATGACTTTTCTCTGCATTGCTTTATAAAGTGCTGACCATTTCTCAAATGTCTGTTATATAGAGTGTGAATGAACATTGTATAGAGCACGCCATCTACCCAGAAAGACCCACATAACATCTGTGCTGTAGAACTCCACAGAGAGCTCCACAGATTTGATGGAAACACCATTATTCTGAACGTTCTATGCATCTACTTGTTTATTAGTTTAAATTAATTGAGTGATTCATTCACCTTCCATATTCTCTGATCTGATAAATTGTCCATTCCACAGAATTCAACAGATTCTTCCCTGAAAACCACACTTAAAATGAATCTTGACCGGTATATAAGGAATGTTTTTTTTTTCACGACTTTATTTAACAGTGAACACAGCTTGGAGTAATCTCTACATATAATAGATATATAATATAGAGTTTAATATATATAAAATAGAGTTTTAACATTGCCAGTTGTACAGTTATACATTACCGTTTAAAGGCATAGCTCACCTAAAAATAAAAAGCTGCTGAAAATGTACTCACCCTCAGACCATCTACAATGTAAGTGAGCTTGTTTCTTCATCAGAACCTATTTGGAGAAATGTAGCATCACATAACTTGCTCACCAGTGGATCCTCTGCAGTGAATGGGTGCCGTCAGAATGAGAGTCCAAACAGCTGATAAAATCATCACAATAATTCACATGACTCCAGTTCATCAAAGAAAAGAGCGAGAA